CATCTCAAGCCCTTGGCAACCGGGCGCCACACACCACGCCCGCCACGGCGACGAAACACCTAGTCGGGGATTCTGAGGAAGTCGACTACGAGTTGGATACTCTTTTCCCAGCATGGGAAGGCGAGGAGCGCGAAGTGTGCCAACGAGCCCTGCTCGAACCTTGCGGACACCGTGTCCGCTCCTCGACCTCTCGACTTCCGGTGAAAATATTATTATTATTAATCACCTCGACGAGGCACAGGAGCAGCTGTTAGAGGCTACACACAGGGCGGCTCTCATGCGCTCGTATCCACATTCGGTCTTTGATCCTCGTGTGAATACACCTTCCGCTCGGCGGATTTCGCTACTGAAGCGAAAGACACGATCACTCGATCGTTAGACGTCTACGTAGTCGGGCCCTCGGCACTACACAAGATGAGCCTGATCAGCGGAAAGCTCTGCGAGCTCACATTTTGGTACCCCAAGAGATTCCAATGGATCGATACCGCGCTCGATTACGAGTTCAAAAAGGAGGTGCGCCTGTTCCCGCTATGCGGAACATTCCTGTGGTGCTCGCCCCTGGCGAAACCGCTGCAGACGACGATAACTCCTTTGAATGATGGGTGCAGCGGCACCGGAAACCTTTTGTGATGTCTACCTTACGGCGAAGCCACAAGTAAGTGGGCGTGCGTGTTGGGCACCGTCTTAGATTTGAGCTTGCCAAACACAAGGCGTAACGCCGACCTCCTGCATATTGTCGCCCTGCAACATATAGAACAACCCATAAAGCCTCCGCGAGCTCTGTGGTCACTCACACGGGTGAGTCCACGACCACAACGGCTCAGGGCCAAAGCTTGAGCTCAGCTCATGGTCCTTTTGCTTCACGGAATACTGCCGAGAAGCACGGTGCGCAAGACGACGCAAAACGTTATGATCCTTCTGATCATAAGCGTCTTCGACGTCTGAGCAATCTTGCCAAAGTGAAACCTCAACCTCCCACGATTTCTTGGAGTTTGGGTATTCCCTCCTTTTCACAAGATGTTGGGTTATACCCCGTCGATAACGTCGACCCACAAGGCGTTAAACGTGCTTGTGGACGCCACCATTCTCATCGAGAAGAGGCGGCGGTGGCCGATGACGACTTGGTCGATCGCCGACCGGTGACTCCGAGCGTTGGAGGAAAAGATCCGTCGTCATCGACACTCTGCCGAGTATCTCTCCGAGATCGTTTACCGCTGCGCAAAAGACCTCGAGAGCCAGGAGCACTTTTGCACCGACTGCCTCACGTTGAGGATTTTCGTGCTCTATCGTAGTGGCTCCTAGCCACCGAGTAGATGAACACGTCACTTCGTGCGACGGTGGAGCGCCTTGTATCGTTGGAAACGAAAGTTGTTGCACTCCGTGCTTAGAACCAGTTGCTGGCTCAACTTCTGGGTGACCGGGCGCCTTTGAGCGTCGCCTTGGTGCCAACGCTTTCGCGTTCACCTGCGCCGAATCCCGGTACGGCTTAAGCAAGCTTACAAGAAACACCGGGTGGATGAGCATTCATCTCAGAAGGTTCAGCGTATACGCCAGGCCTCGCTTGGACACGACCTTAAAAGGTCAAATAAAACGTGGACAGAGCTTCGCCTGTGAGGCAGCAGAAACTGTATGTGTAGGAAGGTTTCTAGCATTTAATAAAACCAGGTTTTAGACCTCAATATTCATATATCCGTCCTCGTCACTCTGCATATTCCTTCTGCATATTGTGTCTTCCAGCCATCGCATCGCGAACGTGTCGTAAGATACTCATTCTGATAGACAGAAAGTCTCCGACTTCTTTTCGCATTGTGAGGGAGCTGACATCAGCCAGTCGCTCGGCTATTCCTCCCCCACCAAGCCCTGGGCCATGGGTTGGCGGCGTCAGCAAGACGCGAGGATCAACAAGCCCGTTCACGTAGAACGGCGTGTAGTCGGTAGATGAATGCACTTCATTGTTCAGAGCAAATCTCTATGAGTGGCAACATGGCGCTCCATCGCTTCGACATCTCAGCGCAGACTTGGCTAACAACGTCTACAGCGACGCGATTTACGCGCTCAGCCTGACCATCGCTCTGCGGATGGTTCGCTGTCGACCTAGTCAATTTGGAGCCCAGCACCCCGGGGATTGTAGACCAAAACTTCCCAGCGAAACGCGGGTCTCTATCAGAGACAGTTGACTCCAGGAGTTCATGTCGTCGAAAGATACGATCGACGAACATCGTCGCTGCACCTACACCGTCGATGGTGTCCGGCACTACCACAAGATGAGCCGTCTTGTTCAAACAGTCCACAAAGACATCATATCCATGTTGCCCGCCGAGTCCTTCGGTAGGCCAAACACAAAGTCATACTCATGGTCTGCCAGCACCCGGAAGGTACCGATAAATTGGTTCGTGGCGCTGCCGCATTCGAAGAGAGATTCACTCTCTGATACGTCTCTCACGTGCGCACATCTGTGCTCTTCCACTTGTACAGCTTGGACACCAGTCGCTCCTCTTCTCTCTAGTGGATACGCATCGAGCTGTACGTCTTCTCACGACAAAGATGACCACTATGTGAGTTGTCATGGGCCTCATAGATGATACGGTGTTTCATATCCTCATCGTGTGGAACTACGTATCCGTGAAATTAATGCGGTGATACAGAAACCCGTTACTAAACGAATATCGTAAATCCGTGCGTGCAATCGCGTCAGCAATTTCCTGTCCGAGTTTCCAAGCTCCTTGCTCCGAGAGCCTGTTGCAGCGCTTCACACATGCTGTCACCCGCGTATGTGGCACGGATCAAATCTGTCACTGACGACGTCACCGTCGTGACAATAGCAAGCTCATAGTCCGATAAGCGTGACAGCGCATCAGTCAAATTCAATCTGCTTTCCTGACTTATACTTCACCTCGAAGTTATATTTCGCAAAGAATGAAAACCACCTGGCCATCCTCTGCGAGAAGTAAGGCGACTGAGTCGCAATGCGTAATAACGCATGATCTGTGTAGATCACAAACTCTTTTAGACAAGCAGGTGTACCCCGAACTTGAGAAGTGCATACTTCATCGCAGGTAATTCCTTGTCGTGAACTGGGTGATTCCTCTCCGCAGCCTTAAACTGGCATGATTCGAACGCGATCTCCCGATCTCGCCCCTCGGCGTTTGCTTGTAACAGTGCAGTGCACACCCGATGGCAAAGTCCGAAGCGTCACAGACGACGCTAAAAGGACGATTGGGGTCTGGCAACACCAGTATTGGTTCATGAAGGAGGCTGTCTTTGACCCTGTCAAAAGCCTCCCGATGCTCGATGTTCCAACACCATTCCTTATTCTTTTAACGGAGATTATGCAATGGCCGTGCCATTTCCGCATGATTTGCGATATACTTGTGCAGGTAGTTGGCGAGGCTAAGCCACTCGCGCAAGTCCTTTTGGTTCGTTGGAACCGGCCAGTACACTGTGGCCTTGACCTTAGCGGGATCCGCTCGAAGGCTACGCTTCCCAATGAAACACCTTAGAATTTCTTCCGCGCCGAAGATACACTTATTGGCATTAGCATACAGCCTTTTCGTGCGCATGCACTCGAGCATAGTTCGCAAATGGACGATGTGGTTTACTACATCTGTCTTCCCTGCGCCCCGCACAACTGTGGACAAAGATGTTGTCGAAATATATCTGCGTACGACCGATGGGGCCCATAAAATAGCGCCACAAGACGATTGATTGTTGCTGGTGTATTTGACAGCCCTGAGAGCATCACCTTCCACCCCCAGAGCATCCCGCCACCGCTGTCAAAGGAATATCACTCGTTCTCATGAGCAATTGCTAATATCCACTGACCGATTCGAGTGCGTTGTACTTTCTACAGCCAACCATATTGTTCTGGAGAACATCCTTCTTAGCGATTGTCGACTTTGCTGGAATGGTGGCAGCATTTGGCTTATCATTAACGTCAATGATACGCCACTTGCCGTTCGGCTTCCGGGCACAAAACTTGGGTGTCGAATGGAGAGACTTGCTCTCACGCACCATTCCTGCGTCGTGCTTCGCACGGAAAAAGGCGTCAATGACGTCAAACAGCTCTCGAGGAAAGGGCCATTGGCTTGTTGCGCAGAATTTGACTCCCGGAACAAAATTAATCTCATGACGAACACATCGGTCGGAGGTAGGACCGAAAGCGGATCGTTGAATCCGACGTCTTGGAATTTTTTTCCGAGGGATCATACGAATTCGAGGGATACTTCAGGATCGATGATCCACTTCGTGCGCTAAGCACCCTTTTCGTGTCCTCCAAGGCAGCATTAACCAGAAGCGACGACGAGTTAATCTCCTCGCTCGGATAATTACCACCTCGGCTAAATTGCCTGCCTTCAAGGCACCGCTAAACGCTTCGAAGGACATTTCGTCCAGCTCAAAAAGAGCATCCATAACCAGAATAGCCCCGAGGGGGACGTCGCCGTCTTTCACTATCGTCATACCGTTGATAGCTGTGCGGAATTTTCTACGGTAGACACACCCTGGGTCAGGGTCGAGCCCTGCGTCTTGCAGGTATTATACGGCTTTGTCTTCTCTTCTCTATAGAGGATTTACGTCATATCAAGACCAGTGGAAACACTCATTCGGTGTCGTCCAGTGTTCCAATCCCTGCTCAAGCGGAGCCTTGATGTTATTAACAACATTGTTGCAATATCCGCAGTCTTCGTCCTCTGGATAACGTGCCACTCCACGCGCATCAGATGGGCCTTGTCCAGGATGCCTCGGACCTCGTCCAACCATGCCACTCTTGGCATGCAGCAACTGCTACGAAACACCACGCGCATCACAAGGGCCTCGTCCGATCATGCGATTCTTGGCTTGCAACAAATGCTTCGTAACGGTAGCACTGCTCAGCTGATTACGAGCAACTCACGCGCATCACCAGGGCCTCATCCTTGGTGTCTCAGCCTTTACGTCGACCTTGTCACTCTTCACATGCAGCTACCGCTCCAATACTGACTCACCAAAGCTCCACTAGGAGACGTGCGCGAAGCGTCAAATTAATCCATAGCTCATGGTGTTCCAACAATGCCGTACCAAGGATGAGATCATATCTTATATTAAAGTCTAAGACTAATTGCGTTCCACGCTCTCAAGGTCATAAAAATTGACAACGAAGTTCATAGGGACCCTCGGCACCGTGACACATGTCCCCTTCGCCAAGCAGACAGTGACGATGTCATACAACCACTTTTTAACGCCTCAGCATACTGCTGACTTCATTCAATCGTGGAGTGTCGAGTGTAATTGCCCGACGCAATCAGGGTCTTCTATGGTTTCTCAAAGGTCACTATTACGACCAGCAAGCCCGGCTTGAATACAGCCCCGAAGAGCTTCAAGCTCTTCGGGGCTGGGCCCTCTTGTCCTCTCTCTCTTTAGGGCTCAACCGACCTCAGTTATCCACAGTAGGGCGCTAGGTGTTGTCGTTTTTCCGCGACAAGCCAGACTGGTGAGAAGCGGGACGTCAGTTCGACGAAATTTGACGCGCCTTGCGCAGCGGAAAATCCGGCCGATGGTGAAGGGTGTCTTCACAGAAAAAACAGCGTCGGGTGCTCGAACGCTGCCCAGCAGCTCGGAGCTCTGCCTCCTCTTTCTCAGCATGGCTGAGTTCCGTCCGCTTGACGAGCTGCTAGAGTGTGCATTTCAACCAAGTCATGCCGACTTGAGGTTAAATTCGGCATTCAATGCCACGTTCATCGCTTCTTCAAAAGAAGACGGATGCACACGAGAGGCTTCCATTCGGCTACGCCAGTGCGGAGGCCCTCCATAAAGACGGTCACAGCGACCGCTTCGACTAGAGGATCTGCTGCCATCCCAGCAATAAGCATTCTCAGCTCTTGTACAAAGTCCACCAACTCCTTCTAGCCCTATTGGGCAGCTGGGAAACGCGATCGCACGCGATATGCCTGATGAGCGGCAAGAACACTCGCAAAAGCTGACGCTTCTGCTCCTTCTAGTAGGGAAACGCAGCTTCAACAGAAGCACCGCACGTTAATTCCCATTCTCGCGCTCGACCCCCGAACTTGGAGATAGCTAACTCCATGCGCTGTTGCTCGTTTTGGATATTGGCGGAGCCATAGCCATCTCGGTCTCTCTTATCCAGAGCAGGAGATTATCCCCATCCTTAACATCGAAGGTCCTAACTCCCACCATGAGCGACCTGGGTTGGAAGAAATCATCCGTCGTCGACGATGGTGTCCTAGACGCTATCGACGCTGACAGCTTCTGCTGTAAGTGCTCTAACAAAGCATATCATAATTGGCGACCTTGGGTCCTTGCGCAACGAGCTGCTCCACTCCCTCAGGGCCCAGCAAAACCATCAGCTTATGGACGCCATGCATTCCAATTTTAATGGCACATTCCAATTCTTATTGACCTATGGAGAGTCCAGGACCCACAACTCTGAAACTTAAAGTGTTTTTGGTCGATCGTGAAACTACGGTAGATTTAGTGAAGGAACAGAATATGTTCGAAATAATCAGTAACAATATTGCCGTTGTCTCGAGCAGTTTTTAAAAAATTAGAAAACAGCCGTGAGTCGCGTTATACTATGAAGTGAATTCAATGATCGTGTATCGTGGTCTTTCGAGTATATGGAAAATTGCAATTCATGCTGGGGTCCTTAGGGAGTAATCCTCAACCGTTTGTTGGTTTAACTGTGTAGTTTCGTGGAGACAAGTCAGGGTAGCTTTTTGCTGCGGACTACGTGGCAAAGCTCCGACGAATGGAGTCTATAAGTCGCAAGTAAAACGACCGAGCCATGACGTCATAAAAGATAATATTCTCTTGTCATGGTATAACGATGCCGCAGACTAAGCAACATCATGTGGTGCGCCCACTGTCAGAAAGAGGGACGTCCTACGCATTTGCGGCAAGAGCGATTATTCTGTTATAAATGGGATGACCAGAGTAGTCTGAGGGGCCCTCATTATTCCAGGCAAAAGCTATTATTGAGTCTAAAGCGTGTTCTTAGTGGATATTTGTAGAGATCTGCATGGCGGCGAAAGTACCAGTTTACGGTTGACCCTCCCCAGAAAGAGTTAACTTCATTTTATATCATAAATCAGTCCGTTGTTGATGACACTCTTAAAGCGCTGATTGCAGCGAGTAAAACAGGCTATCATCAATGATCTTATGGATAGGTTTGTTCTTTGATGAAGGAAAAGCACGACGCAGTGTCGAGATATCCACTTTGCGAGCAGCCTTCGTTTTGAGGAGTTCGTCATATTTGATCCTTAGAGCCAAATTTGCATAACTCATCTACTTCCATTGCCAAGGCATGATGACACATCACACCTTTATCGCACAAAGCAAGAAACAAATAGGTGGAAGGGAATTGATCTAAATGCTTGGCGTCGACTTCCTCTGTCAGAAAGTTTGCGATAAGTGGCAAAGTGTGCGTGCTAATTCAGGCTTATTGCAGCCACTATTTCGGTGCTACGTCGGGTTCGCAGGAAATACAAGCTGTTGAACAGCATAGTCAGTTGCGCATTGTTCAGTGCGCTTCGCCTCGACGATGGGTTGTTTTACTGTAACTGAGAGACATTAACATTTCTTTCAGCTAAGTACTCCGAGTGGTCTATTCTGGGAGTGGATGGGTAAACTTCAGCTGCTGTCGAATGTACCAGTGACGCACAGCCATGTGATGATGCAGCTATTCAGACTGCAACGTGTCTATGCACCGACATGTACCGATGATATGCTGGCCCAAAGTCGTGTGAGGCATGAGAAATGTACATTGTTCTAAATGATTCAATTAAGGAAATTTCATTGGCAGAGTCTGATATTTCAATGCTTCATCATGTGGTGCCACCACACATGAAGCGCCACGTGGATCAGTGCTGTAGTGCAGCAAAATTTTGGACATAAGGATCGCTGACAATGAGCATCAATCTCTAATAAAAGGCAACACCCCAAATCAAAACTTATTTTGTTCTATAGCGCTGGGCAATTGCGTCTAACCAATACGCTGTACGTATCTTCTCACCAATGTATAATCTTGGGTACGCGAAAGTGCAACCTTCACCACATGACACCAGCCCAGCTACTACATATATTCCCGAGAAGACTAGGTCATCCTGTCATTCTCTTCAGGACATGCATTGACGATGTCGATGCGCGCAGCGAAAGTGACTTGTCATTAGCACAAGCGGCATAGGGCCATGTAGGCGTGCCCAGAAGCTGACTAAAAAGGTTTAATCAAAGGTGAGTACTTCTTTGCTACTTTATGCTGGTGAATCTCAGACTTAACTTCGACCAAATTGTAATTGAAGAATGTTCTATTCAAAAGCTCTATTTTCAAGAGATCCCACGACGAAATATAGCTGATGAAGCGGCTCACTAACCTAAGGAATATTTTGTGCTTGACGATTTTGGCACAAAATAATGCAGATACTCAAGGTCCTCACTAATCTGCTTGATACGATGTCAAACGCTATACGGTGCAGCATAAAGGCGTCAATCAATGCTTAAAAAAATCATGGGTGCTCTGATTTTAGCTCTCTCGATTCCGTTTCGGTCATTACATGTCCTCTGTACCCTATGGCATGTACTGCAAATTATATTTTACTCTAAACTGATGCCACTCGCCATGAATGCGTTATCGTGATTAATCCTCGCCAGGTTTAAGCGGTAAATAAAACCTATTAGTTCATGATTAGGCTTTCTCTGTTTGTAAAAAACCCATGTCATGCCTAGAAAACGACGGCTTGTCTCTTAGCCATGTAAGATATGTGGATTATATACGTCGTTGAGCATAGATACGTTGTCGCCTCAACTCTCTCGGAGGATGAGCGGACGTTCAAACGTGTATACGTTATAAACCCTGCAAAAATGCGTTTGTACCAGTAGCAAGTCTAGGAGTCTGGCAGATTGTTGGCACTTTACAAGTATGGATTCCATCTTCGGTCTCACAAAAGACATGTCTGTTCAACCTTAGGATATAGTCTTACTGGATCGTCCATTTGAGATGGCTACCGTCAGCATGGCTGTTGAAAGGGGTGATTTTTATAGCCGTCCTTTAAATACAACACACATGCTTGTGCGACAAGGAAGCGATTCCCAACGTGGAGAGAGAAGGACAGTCCCGAGTAGGAGGAAAGTAGAACGACTGAAGGGCTTAGAACCAAATTTTCAACTGAGTTAAAATAAGTAAATGGTACAAAAAGCTACCCCAGTGCTCTGAGAGGTTTCACTGATAAATCTTGGATTTCTTGGAGCCTTCTTCATGCAATCAAGGGTGCACTGAGGTTGAACCCCAGCTTGAACTTGTACAAGATCTTGGGTGAACGGAACTTAAACCTCGAAAAGCTCGAGCTTTCCAAGCAGGAACAAGCATTCTGTATCACACAGAAAGTTGTGGCTTCACGCAACATGTCACATATGGATGTCGGGGTAATATATTGTAATTCCGTTTCTTATAAATTTCCAGAAGGAAAAGAGAAAATTTCTTTTATTGCCTCTTTTACGAAGCGCACAAATGACAAAATCGTTTCCAGCATCTCTAATGCATCCGCGTACCGTGAATGCGTGGCGCTTCTAAATGTATCAAGCCTTATCATAGCCTCGCAAAACTTTAGATTCTGATATTAAAAGCCAACAAAGGTGAGCTGTGAACTCCATAGTTTGCAGAAAGGCTATCAGATTAAACAACGCTTAATGACATTGACCTCGATCTGTATAAGGGTCTAAATAATCAAGCCCCTGTCAATTAATCGCCCATATTTACTAAGGCTTGACGTTTTTCAGTCGACGTGCGCGGAAGCCTGGTCTATCGGAGAGAAAAGGGCGCACGCAGCGCGTAAATAAATGATCATGCAATTACTTCATCATCTATGAGACCTACGATGCTGTTTTGCAGTAAAGATATATTCTTCTTCTTTCTCAGCATAATTGGGGTCTATCACTTCTTAGGCGCCTTATGCCAACGCCTCGCATCCCTTGTGTCGCTCCTGTTTCACAACGAAAGGATAGTGTAACGGGGATTACACGTACCATGGTATGAAGGGGTGAGTCACACCAGATGGTGTGACCATAACGGTGGAATCGCACAATGGTATGACTACATCATGACAAGAAGTCAGTACGTGATTGGACTGCCAGCAGCCATGCATTTTATTTGGATTTTCACATTTAGCTAGAAAAGCCTATAACTTTATACACAGGCGGCTTTGCCGCAATTAAAACAAAAGGAATACAGTCTGGATTTTGAATGAAAATAAGTGATTGCCTTTGGTTAAGGTTGTGGGTACATTTGGAGTTAGCGGATTGCGATCCGATACAGCCATACTGGTTCTAGTATAGAATATAAGGTCGGTGACTTCATCATAGCTTCCTATAAGCAAGAGCTACGGTAGCTCCGCTGCTGTAGCTAGGCCGTAAACTGTGGAGGTTTTACTGCCCCATATGGTACGGATCTACTGACTCCACAGTACTGTCTTCAACTAATACTGATGAGTCATCGGTAGAGCCTAATTCCTATACTTGTGATGTACAGTTGCTTGCCTGCACTCCGATGGTACATAAAACCGCGAATTACCGCCGAAATTGATTCTTGAATGTAGCGGCTATGAAATATAATTAATCGACTTATCGGGGATATAAGTGAATATTCGTGCCGACTTCTGGCTCGGCAGATAAACACTTCGAGGATGATAAAGGCACTTATTAAACGCGTTGCGATTATTGATTTTGAACATTTTCACGTCTTGTACCAGAGCTATCGCAATTTAATTCCTGCGTTAAGAATTGCTTTGCCCCGTAGGGCTAACGGAATCATGACTTTTCAAAACTCAAACAGGAGATAAGTCCTCAAAATACAATGTGTCCGATCCATGAAGTATGTCATCCACATTTTCTAAGTATAGTTCTTCTGATATTCAAACATCGCGCCTCCTCCTTATCGAGAGATTACCACAGACCCTCAACCAAAGAACTAGCTATATCTACACTTCGCCTCTTCCCTGTACAACGTGCTCGTTCAATTAGGCAGAACGCTTCACGACACACTGCCACAACAAATTAGCCTTGTTGTCGATGCGAGAATGTCGGTCTGCAAGTGCACGGGTTACAACGACTTCTGCAAGCTTTATCATGTCGTGGTCTAGATTAACGTCGTCAAATTGGTTTCTGTGTCGGCGAAAGAGTCTAACACTTATTTGTGTGCAAGCCAGCTTTTGCTCAAACAACGCGCTAAGCGAGAGCATAAAAATAGCTCTGGGCCTCCCGTTCGCCAAATCTAAGTATCACCACCTGTGTCTTGATCAGCAGCCGTCGAATAAATGTGTAAATTATATGAAGAAGGGGCGCTGGATGCTGGACGAAGAGCCGAGGGTAGTCGTATTTGATTTACGCGCTGAAAAAGAAGACGCGTTGTCTCACTCACCATACAGGTTTGCACGCCAGCTGCAGTGAGGCAAATGTCTAGCTGATCCGTCCTCTCATGCTTTACCTTGAAAGTACAAAAAAGGACGTAGACATCGAAGTACTGGCTCGTCGTAATAATTCATGTTGTCAACAGCCGTGCTCATCTCCAGGAGGATTGAATCATAACTCTAGCCAAGTCTTGAACTGTAGACAAAGGGGGGTCCCGTTTGATTGTAAAAAGCGACTCCCGCTAAGCTCCCTGTCATGGTTTTACGATATATGAAGCTCATGTGTTAAGTCATGAGTACCAACGTCGCCTGTACTAATTTGCCGAAGTGGAACCTCAAGATTTCATGAGTTTTCGATGTCGGGGTATCGCTTTCGTTTTCCCGGAAACTGGTTATAGCCTTGATAACGTCGTCGGGATCCTTTTCAATTCAAATAAAAGCTGTCTTTCCCTGGCTTATCTTGTAGTACCGGTAGAGGACAATTTTCCCGCGTTCGGCCCTCACGAACTCTCTGAGCTATGTGCGACATGTCGACTCTCTTTCCAAATTTTGGCGGGTGAACGATAACAAGACTATCTGGGCCGCATCATCCTACAAAATACCATATACGTTTCATAATCGTAGGCATACGGGTAGCTTTCATAAAAATGGTGAGACGATATTTTGTCTTCAACAGAGGACTTTACTTCATACGACTCGTTAGAGTGTGATTATGGTATGGCTTCGGCAAGACCACAGAGAGCAAATATTGTGAGCATATGTACTTGTTCTGGCTAAAAACGTGTGTAGATATATTGCAATTTAGCTATTTAGTCTGCAGGTACTGCATGTACAAGTATTTTAGCCGAATCCACTAAAATTTTACACACTCATGTGTGTTCCGCCTGCACTGGCATCTATACGATGTTTTTGCACGTTCTGTTTCTCCGAATTTCATCGCGCACTCGACGCACTATACAAGATCTTATCAAGGTACTTAATCTACTTCGAAGTATGGCCAGACTAATATCAGCAAGTAAAATCAGACAAAGGGAAGATAACTCACCCAAACTGAGTCCACTTTGTGCAGTTTTGATTGAGCACTGGTGTTAACAAATCATTGATGTAAGAAAGCAAAAACGTGTCTAGCGTAATGTAATACACACACAATAAGTTAATGCATTTCACTCCAGCACGCAATTTCTCCACACATATTCCTTAAAAATTACTTCCACCGCACGGGCACCGCACCCTGTCAAATTATCAGCCTTTAAATGGTTGGCTTGTAACATGTCCAATCTGGTGCCGAGCACTTTGGGCAGATGCCCGCCAAACCTTCGCTGTGGAGTGCGGATCTCGATTGAAAAAATGGCATCAAATTTGAAAAAATAAAACTAAGAGCCGCTTGCTGGTATCCTCACCAGCAACCGTTCTGGTTACAGTCGCGATGTAATATATCTTGCGACGGACCAGAAAGACCACAAAAGTGGTGATACTGAGCGCGTCTTTGAAATACCAAAAATGAAAGTCTAAGTTTATGGACTATCAGCATTTTGCTGAAAATGGCAGACTGATCAAAGGCGTTGATACATGCGGCGAGGGTTTAACACGCTGATACATTTTGGACATGCGCGCACAAGCGTTCACCCACGTATAAAAATACATAGCTCACTGGGTAGGCCATTTCAAGGAGCATCACATTCCTCGTGCAGTATTCCGTACCTAAGGTTCTCGTAATGTAGTACTACCTTGCGTTGAGTGTCAAATGACTCAGTGTTGTAATGAAATAAACGATGGGACCGGCAATAGTGGTACAAATAAGCATAAGGTGGCATTTCACCTAAAAAATGTTTGGCTTTCCAAGCATCCAACAATTAAATACACATTGCACTATGCTCGTCTGCTCACTGTATATATCGCCTCACCGATGTGGGACGTCATTATTTAACGCGCAGATATATGACTTCTGCAGACTTAGAGGGGCATGAGTCTCTATATATAGCTGCTTCGGCTGAGTAAACTGTCTTGAAGTTCAGGGCAGCAAAGAAAGATAATGTTATAGATGAGCATTTCCAGAGATGTTGTGACAACGTCGCTGTACTCATAGTCGCATGGTTTGCATATATTACAGATGGCTAAAAGCCAAGCAATTCGCCCTGGACTTTACATGCATAGTTCAGAACAAATGAATCCTTGTCATAACTGAGTATGTCTAATCCGGGATTTCAAGCCAGCAAGACTGTTGGGATTGTAATATTTTTTCATTGCGTGACAGAAGCCTTGAAGTGGCCGAAATGGATTTGAAAGAGCCTAGCACTCATTAGAGGTTCATTATCAGCTTAACGGTCGCCTTTTTTCTGTTAGACTCGGCACCAATTGAAATTAGTAAAATATTAAGGATCACGTAATGTCGGCATACTTTGCATATATCTTGCAGGTAAATGTCAAGCCAAACTACTCCCTTAGAGGTCGGGACAAAGGATCGACTAAATTAACGATAGCTTGAGTCTTCGCGAAATCCGCAGATCATACTTCTCAAACAACATTCATCAGCGAGAATCTTTTCGGCGCCAAAAGGGCAATTGTTTATTTTGGAGAGGAGATTGCTTAAGCACATACGCTGAAGCGCTGCTCGTGAGTATACAGTGCGAATATTCACATCTGAATTCTCGTAATTTGTACAGGTATGGATGAATATACCGCCAAAATAGATTTGAGCAGAGGTACTGTATAGCCTAAACAGCTGCGTCAAGAGACAATTGAAAGTCGCTCGTTGGTTAGACGCCCTCCGAAGCAAAAGCAGTCACATCAGAAAATACGCTTACCGCAGATTGGTAGAGTAAAGCCGTTTTATATAAGAATTAAATACCAACCAACAACCACTTCATGAGCAGTGAACAAGGTGCAACCGTCACATGCAAACCATCATTCCATATATTGAGGCTCGCGTTGGAACAGCGGTTATATTTAGCTTACTATAGATACATACAGTCAGGAAAATGACCACAGCTATTCTGACGTGAAAATGTAAGAGGGCGCTGTTCACAAACAGTCTCTGAAACACAACACATATGCATATGCGACGAGAAAGCGACTCCTGACGTGGTGGAAGACGATCGTCGCAACTTGTTGGGAAGAAGAACGACTTTATACCTTGAAGGCAAATTTGCAGCTCAATAAAAAATGAGTTATATTTCTTAGCTACATGCAAAACTCCCCGAGGGCTCCTACAGGTTTTACTATAAAAACCCTGGAGTTCTGATTTACAAATCAATGTGTGCTGAGGTTGAGCCTCAGCTCCAACTAATACAAGACCTTGGGTGAAAATATCTTGAACTTTGGAAGCTTGAACTCAAACTTTCGTTGAAAGTATCCAGTAGAAGAGACTGGCTTATGCCACCCAATTTTAAAGACAGAGACACGTCGGTCTCGTTACCAGTACAACTCCCCAAGCAGAATCCAGCATTCTGTATCACACAGAATGTTTGTGACTTTTTTTGAGAAATCTCATATGCATTCGGAACTGCTATACTGTAATCCTCTTTGATAAATTCTCACAGCGCACACAGATAGTACGTAAATGTACCTTCATGTAATCGCTAAGCGTAGCCCATTACAAAAAGTCGATGTTGTGTGAAGAGATGTACTCTTTCTCATTAATATTTATTCGTATGCCACATGGCGAGAGGTCTCTACGACGTCACGCTGCTCCCTTGGGTCATTCACGTAGAAGGCAATATAGGTAGGTCAATTTCGATGACGTACTTTCTAATCTAATGGCAACACAGGGTGGTTCTCTTGCCACCACATTGTGATATTTATCTCACAAAGGATCATCGAAATGCGCTAGAAGCTTGAGAATATACGTTTTACTCTTCGCATTCTCTATTTTTTATAACGAGTTCTTTCGTAATGATTGACAAGCTCAGCGCAGCTTCCACTACCAACCCTACCATTGAGGCGACACCATAGTTTTGTAACTCCTTGTAAACATCTAATATATTATATGGCAGAGCTTTGGGATCCATCCCCACGTTCTTATTGCTTCTTGTAGTCATCTTCTTAGTGGCAGACCAAGACTTTCATTTACCGTCTATACTAGCTCAAACGAGAAATCTACGACGATAGCAGAGGCTTGATTACTGGCGCAAGCCTGTGTTTAGATGCAAAGAGCATGTCCATGACAGTTGACTGACTGACACTTAAAGTGTTTTGGGTGCAATATACGGTTTTATGCCTTGCTTAAAAAGTGACAAACGTGCTCGTCGTCGAACGGTGAACCATGAACACAATTCGTTGTACGGAAGCGTGGACAGGAACGTGTGGCCAGTATGCTGTGTTGGGTACTACTGATTCGTGAGTTCATGGCGAGGTTAGCCATGGTGATTTGCATCTAGTCGGACGAACAACGATGTTGAGACCAGAAACAGATCTCTAGTTCATCTGCTAAATGCCTGTGATGAGATGCATCAATGAGCTTGCGCAGTCTTGCATTGTAATACACGGCGGATATTTCTCAGAGCGGTACAACAGGACTGCAGAATAGGTGCGGGGAAAATTTCAGGGTCATTCGAACACTTTCAAACCATCCGACTTGTTCCATATGACGCAAAAGCTCGCCTCGAAGCAAAGAGCTACGGTAGTTCCGCTGCACTTGAGGTCGTCTTGTACACGAGGGCTTGTGTCATGGGTATGTAGATAATCGGTGATGCGCAGCCAAAGGAATCGGATATCACCTTTTTTGCTTTTTTCACGTACACATTCGATAGGATTAAGAGAAAAGAGCAACATTGGATAGCACATCACCAGTGTCTCACATAGCTGTCGGAGACTATGCACAATCACAGCTACGGTTGGGCTCCGCCATTGAAAGTATATGACTTTGCCTACCGTTCGCTCATTTGCAGAGGTGTCATGGGTCCGTAGAAGGCGACCACTCTCATAAAGGAGATTTGTTGCGAGGCGACCTTGGACGTTGAGTTTTCATCTGCGGGTACGTTGTACTTTTCAAATCGCGTTGAGAGCTGGTTCAATAGTTGATAGTCTCGATAGTACCACCCATATCCCGAACAATTTTGAAGGCGTCACTTTTGACAGATATATTGACGATGGTGAGATTGAGCAAGTATCTTGAACGTGATCGGCTCTGGAAGTACTCTTTTCGTGTTGCTCTATTAGCACTTATCAGATGATGTTTCAGTTAGTGTTCTACCAGCTTTAAACAATGAAAAATGTCGATGAACTTAAGACCAAACTTGTTGCTATTATTCGCTTTATTGCGCCTAGTATTATGTGGCACTATATTGACTGCCAGCGACTACAAAATTAAATTCACGAGTACTAAATCCTTCCTATCATTTCATTAATTCTATCTCAAAGATTTCTGCCATAGCATCTGACACGACATCTTATATATATTGCTAGCGGCTTTAGAATGACTAAAAAGCTGTATACGTCCTTGCTACAGGCAAAAGACACAACATGGCTCGCGTTAATATCAATTTACTTGTACTGTGAATTCTTTTCAAACTGACAATGAAAACGATAGTGAGGTAGTCTCACACGCTGGCGACTCAGGTTAGCCTGATAAGGTGGCATTGCTATCGCCTGTGTTTTCCAACAAATGAGCTCAAGTTGATTCTTACTATATTTGGTATGAGATACAGATTGCGCTCAAATAATTACGCTTGCCCTCAAAAATGAATTATATCGTCTCGCAATCAATTAAGAAAAGATTAATATTCCAACGAAGTCTAAGGATATCGTGTATGTATATATGGCCCATGTCATATCTGTTATTCCTTCGTGGCTGTAGTTTGCCCTCTGAGAAATGATATTCCTTAACCCAAAGCTTCAAATAATATTTGAAGCTTTGGGTTAAGGAATATCATTT